ACTCCTTCCGACACATTAAAAATTATTTTTTTTAAATCGATTTCTTGTTGTTGTTATTGCTATAGTTCGTTCGTTGTTGTTGTTGTTGTTGTTGTTGTTGTTGTTTTGGGGGGATTTTTTTTCTTTTTGCTTGTCACATTGCATTTAACATAAAAATTGTCTTGACACAAGGTGCTTTAGACAAGAATTATATGGTTCGTAAATTTTGAGTCACCACGTAAAAGGTTCAATGGGGTACAAAAAGTTCAGGATTCGTTTTTTTAATAACTATTTGGCACCCTACCAAAACTGTATACCATCTAACACGTTCATGAGCAGGTCCACTCTACATTTTTAATGAGCTTGGGACAGTTTGAGGCCAATGAATGCAGGTAACTATAGAACCAAACTAAAACCAAGTGGAGTCATTTATACTTTAGGAAATAGTGAACAGTGGCCAAATTAGATTCTAAAGATAAAACCCCCCCAGCTGTTTTGGCGTCTTTAGATCTAACAAATAAAATGTGTATAGTGAGTATTTATACATTAAAAAAGGATTAGATAAGTGCGATATGTCCTACTTACTCGCACCTACACACGAGCAAACAATATTGCCTTTAAAGAACCAGGGTGGTTGATCGTATATGCACATTAAAATAGCTCATAAATGATAGTCACCAATGAACATAGCTTACACGTACAGTATGATATGTATATTTTATGTTTCATGAATTTATGTGTACACGTGCCTTGGTATAAAACGAGTGGAAGTGGAGTTGACGACACCATAATGACTGCATAGACTGTCTATGTGTCCAGCGCACTCACTTGATCGTAAAACACTTACGAAAAATAAGAAAAAAAAAACAGGGACTGTTATGGTTACCTCTTCCCGCTCTCCGAACGGTTTTGGGTTGTCCAGACTGCCTTTGAGAACTGCTGAGGGAGGAATGGCGGGAAGGGACTTCCGCTGTGCACCGACCTGGTCCTCTGCGCGGGGCGTGACGACTATTGTGTACGACTCCGCTGTGGGAAATATAAATGACGAAATTGCACAGGTTTTGCTCCCCTTGCAGCAACACTGTAAGAAATTTAACCTTATCCGTACGCCCCTGGGTCATTTTGTATCCCCGGGGTTGTATTCTTCACATTTTAGAATACTTCTAGTGCGAAGATCATTTTGAAACTTCCAGTATTTAAAAAAAATTCATTTTGACAGATTACTATGCAAAGCGTACGGATCGGATTAGCGAGTAAATTTCCTCTTTGGAAAGTGGTGGCCCCGTGTTCCCCACATCGTATGGATACGACAGTAAAACACGACGTACGAATAGGGTTAAAACCCTTTGCAGTCACACAGCTAGCAGTACAAAATACACCATCTGGTCACCGAGTCAGGAGAGTGGCTGCAATGGATAATTTTCACCGTCGTATTATTACGCCAAGTGACCGCAAGGTGTTTTAAGAGTCAGCGTCTCCGAACGTAACTTCAATTTCCGACAGGACGGAGTCAAGGGGGGAATTTCGTGTAAAATCCTTCTTTCCAAGGTCACCACATCAGACCGAGCTGAGCCTCGATCCCCGGAACCCGCAATCCCACAATTACGAGTCTGGTAGCCAAACCACTAAGACTAAAGACGTCATCCCGCTATGAGAACAAGGTCTATAAAATACAGAAAGGGCCACGCGCAGCGTTAGCTTTGTTGGTATCATGATAGACTGCGGGCTTTCTAAATATGGGTTGCTTTTTGGAGATCTTTTAAAGCTCTCCACTCCTCTGGCTGGCTATTATAAATAAATTACATCTTTTTTTTATCCCAGAAGGGCAATTATTCTTACAATAGCAAATATCAAATACATTCATACTAACATAAACACATATCGGCATCAAATGCTCTTTTTCAGGCAGGGTCCAAGCACCCCGCCTTCTCAGTGGTCCCCATTGAGTCGGTGGCAGTGTAAAACGCTTTATATTTTCATAGTGACGTCACATACCTGTGTCAATATCTGCGTCATCACCAGGCGCCGTCCAGGCCAGAACAACAATGCCACTGCCGTTGATTCGCTCCGTATGCAAGACCCTCAGGTCCGTGATGCGCATGGGCGGGTACTCGTCCACTGTGACGTCAGGTATGACCTCAGAGTGATGGGGACCGATCAGACGCGGGTGGGTCACGTGGACACTGCCAGCGTAGGCGGAAGCTACGAAGGACGCCATTTTGAAATCTGGAGAAATTTAGCATGAGTTGTATTGTATGGTGTGGTTTGGTATTGCATGGTATGGTGTGGTGTGGTGTGGTATGGTATGGTGTGGTGTGGTATGGTGAGGTATGAAATGGTATGGTATGGTGTGGTGTGGTGTGGTGTGGTGTGGTGTGGTGTGGTGTGGTGTGGTGTGGTGTG